GAACAGCTATCAAAGATCACAGCGATAACATGGATGGTGGCGCATCCCTCATGTAAGATTCAGAGTGGGAGGACGGGGGCTGGGCACAAGTTTGAATCTTAAGGGAAGATGTCTGGGGATGTTTGCACCACCCCACTGTGAGCGCTCACATATACACAGACACTCCAGTGACCAAATCTGGGCTCTCCCTTTCATTCTCTCTGTCTTTCTCCACGGAGCGTCTGTCTGTCACTCTGATTAGGAACGGACAGAGGCGCATAAAGCTGAGAGGGGATAAAAAAGGGCGGGATACCAGATAGAGGGAGTTACGGATAATGTGGAACCAATAAGACAAGCCTCCTCTGTAATACGCTGTTTGTCAAAGACACTATCGACTTCATTTTCAAGCATCTGATCTTATAGATGGAAATTTGAAATTCAGTCTAAAAAGATAAATCATTTTCACTCTGGACACAAGGAAACATCTTTCTTTAGGCTGCACTACTTAACTTTTCACTCATACTTTGATTGAGAAATGTTGTCTCAATTGCAACAGGATTTAGTCCAGATGGACTGAGCAGCTGTACTTGGCATTAGACAGCCATATACACTGAATATACATTTACAAAGCTTGCAGGCATAGCTAAACAAATTATTATCTCAGGAAATAAATGTCCATTTAGATTTGAGAGCACTCTTGCGGTACGTAGGATTAGGAACAAAAGGGGCAAATAGTTTAATTGACGAGCAGGTCAATTCAGCACCCACATTGAATCTCATGACAATTTGGTGGATTTTACGTGTTGGGATACTCAATCATAGCTCATTAATGTGTTATAGGTGAAGTCCTTATCCAAAGATTTAGTCACACAGCATGTTTTTATATGACACGACTTATCTCAGCAGTGGTTGTTTAGTACTAAATGCAGTATCTTGACTTATGCTTGAACTTACTAATTGAAACTTTAGCTTCCTATGTCGCCCAAGGACAGATCTTTAGAAGAAATATGTGGCTGCTGCTTATAGCTTTGTTTATCCGTTTTAAAGTCATCTAATTTCTCAGACACATACCTCTAATGATTGCTGTCAACTCTCTATCCATTCAGCTGTCCACAACATCTTTTTATCTTTAATATCAGTACAGATATAGCAATATAAAAAATGTATCGCTTCGAACCAGTCACTTGATGCCATTTTTAAATGGAAGTCAAAGATCATTTAAGACGACAAGCTGAACTATCTTGTATGAACTATATAATATTGCATTTCCAATACTGACAGTCAGAAGCATGGAGGTTATGTAAGTGTGGCATTTGATGCCAGACCATTTTTTTTTCTTAACCTTCAAAGCACTGAACCAAGTGGTTTTGATGTATATACTAAGTAAAATAAAGTGTATTGTCTGTTTGAGAATAAAATAATTAGTTACAAGCTGTGACAATCACGTCCATTTGTAAATCCAGGAGACACAGATTGTTTCTTATTATTCAGCTCTAAGGTCTAAATTGAATGATTTAGTTGCCCATTCGCCACCACTTATACCAAACAAGCACTTATTTGTTTTTGTTTTTTAAGCTCATGCTATAGTATCATGTGTGTCTAAAGAAGAAAATGAGAGGAATAATCAATGATCGATTAGATATAGTATGTGACTGTTGTGTCCTGACATGTAACATGGAACATATTCTGCTAGTTACTGGGTTGCATGCTGTTGTATTGCACACAAATAGTACAATTTCAGTAGTATTCAAAGACATCCCTGAAAAACACATTTTATATAAAAGTCACTAAAAATTCATTTATTTGCTTAGGATTGATAGTTTAGACAAGTGTATTGAAAGTTAACTTCATCATTCAAGTTTTTCAACAGTAAAGCCAAAGTCTGAAAAGCTCAATTGGAAATTAACTAAGGCTTTAATTCCAACTTATTAAGGACTAATACCCTGCAAAACAAGACTGTCAAAAATTTGAATTAAAGATTCAAAGCAGGAAAGAAAAGGCTGCATGAGCATTAAATGAAGGACAAACACATTGTTTGTGCAATTTGCCTAATTACAGAGGATAACAAGATCTCATTAAAGTCTGATTACAATTAAAATTAAAGCCTAAAAATAAGCACAATTACTGAGATTCAGAGAGTCTTTTGATGAAGCAGGCAGTAATACCAAACTGCGTAAAATGCCCATCCAGTTTGTGTCTGAAAGAGCGGCATGAGGAGGAAAGGTGAGAGATGGTGTGAGGGAGGCGAAGAGATGGAGGCTTGGAGAGGTGGCAGAGGCTGGAGCAGGAGGAGGAAAAGAAGAGGTGTGAGAGGGAAGGAGAATGGACAAACAGACGTATGTATGGATGGGTGGTGAGTGATATCAGAGGGAATGGGGGAGAGAAAACAGGAACAGCCAAAGTGCACGAGGAGGAGGAGGAGGAGGAGATGAAGGAGGTGGAGAACGTCGGTGCGGGAGAGGGAGGGTGTTGAATGAAGCGCTGTGTTTATCGGCGTTCAGAACGTACTGTGCAGTAGGTTTGTCTGTAAATGTCATCTCCTGTGCTTGAGTTACAATGCAGTGGGCTCGCACGAGTCACAGGCACACATACACACACTATAAATACACACCGAAATTAGGAAAAAGAGGCACCACACAGTGCTAAATCACACTCATTTGGTAGCTACTTCTCTCCATGTGACGTTAGCACTTTTCATTTTCATTTCATTTTTCTCTTTAACACACCGGCCTTACAGACATCAGAAAGTATACATTTAATTAATATATTTCAGATCCATGTGACAACAGGTGGCAACACATCAGAGATAGCACCAAAAGAAGAGAATGGATATAGTGCAACACTTTTGTTCACCGCTGATTGCCCTATTGTCAGCGGTGGTGTGAGAAAAGGTCACTAAGGTCTATCCCTACGGTCTTCCTGCCTCTGAAGAAGACAGAACAGGATAGCGGTCCCTGAACCAGAGGGCTCAGCATTCAATTGAATGGTTTTCTTTTAGTCCAGTTTCTTATCAGGCGGAGCAGAATTGGTTTCCTGCACTTGTCAAAGAATGGGCAGCGAAAAGAGGAGAAATCCTGTTTGTAAATCACACCGCAGGGACACTGCAGCTGTCAAGGGACAGTGTTTACTTTGTTTTACTACCACTGTCTTATCCTGTTGACAAGGCAGGGCAGTGGTGTGTGTCGCTGATGTACCAGTGCAGTCAGAAACGCACCAAAACACACATTAGGCCTCCATCCTGTGCACCAGGTGCCAGTGTACAACGAGTCACAAAAGGAGATGCACTTCACCTCCCATGTTTGACGCCTCACCCACTTGCTATCAGCTCTGGAGGAAGCAGAAGGTCAGCGTGTTCGAGGTGACAGGAAATGAGTCCAGGCATGACACCAGTCTTCTTGATCAAACTTGCCATACTGAGTATCTGATCTAGTGAAAGTTTGCAAAGCACATGGCAGGATGTCTCTTGTGCTCAGATACAGAATATGCCTGAGTGTAGTTTGGGCTTTGTGCAAATGTTTGTGTGTTATTGTGATTCATAATTGCTATGGGTTTCAAGATAAATCTTTGGGAATTGTAAGTGGGAATTAGTATTTGATGACAATTAAGAGTAAATTTGATCTTCATAAGAAATAAACATACACCAATAAAAAAAAACTCATGACAAGGGAAAAGGTTTATGATTTTTTATTTATTTATCAGAAGTGATTATGTTCTGTATGTTGCTTTCTATGCTAAAGCACAACATGTCCATGAATGGTATCACAAATGATGGTCTTTTATGATCTGCTTCACCTGTTGTTATCTTTTTTTAAATGCATGAAATGGCTTGTAATAAAGGACAAATTTTGACTAAATTATTATTGTGAAAAAGTAAGAAGAAAAAAATATTAGGTCTCACTTATAGATATGAAAATTGACCGATCGGGATTAATGTTGAATACATATTGAAGGAGATGACTGAAGTATGTATGACGTTTTACATTTCAAATGTGTCACTTTCGGTGACCTTTTGGTCAACAGGTGGCTCTCCTTGTAGCCTACAACATGCGACAGTGGTGCGTTTCAATATCCTGTTTTCAGTATTAATCACTCTCTGACCCTTTTCCTGTAATTTTGCTAGTTTAACAAGAGTAATTACCCCGATATAAAAAGGTCTAATTATCCCTCACTGACGCAAACGGACGGAGCGAGCCGAGGCGCTCTCGCGCTTCTGTCGATTCGTAGGGATTCGGATGTGATGTCAACACGGCCGCGCGCTGTGACGGTCTCCCCGGCAACGCCGCGTGCGGCAGTGACGCCAGCCCGGGCCCCGGCTCGTGGTGAGTGGGCGTGACTCGCCACGTTAGCCCCCCCCTAGTCTCCCGTCAGTGTGGGCGGGCCCCAGTCAGAAGAGAGCGAGCGAAACACGACACCCCGAGGACTGAGAGAGACACGGGGGGGGGAGGAGAGTTGCGCAGAGTGGTGTGAGAGTGAGTGGAGGACTAAAAAAGTCTGTGAAGAAAGACACGGCGCTTTTCTAACGTTCGTTTTCTGTCAGATAACTCGCAGAGCTTCGCGGCGCGGACAGATGCCAAACAGCGACGAAGATGTGGTTGAGACGGGGTAAACAGCTACCGGACAGCTAGCGGCACAACTTGGAAGAGGAGCGAGAAAAAGGCTTTTTCGGCTGGATCGAGTTGGGACGGTTGACCGTTTCCCTCCGCAAGTTGAGCCCATTTGAACGCGGCGAAGTGCTGGACGAGAGGCGAGGACCGAACAAGTCTTCGCTCGGTTTACTCCGAGCACCGTCCGCCGGGAAACGGACGGCGCGAGCGCGGCTGCTCGAGACAGGACAGAGCCGCTGAAGCAGCAGTTTAAAAAAAAAAAGTTTGCCATATCTTCACCTAGTTTTCCAGATTGGAAACCAGCGCGGGGGAAGAGGCCGTGAGACTGACTTTTCTTCTTTCCACAAGCAAGTTGGTGGAATTCATCCCGTTTTAGTTTGGGCAGTTGGGTCCTGCTGATCAGCTAAAGCAGAGACAATGAAAACACCTGGAGATAGTGGTGAGTTTAGCGTGACTCCTATTTCTTTTCAATCATTGTCTTTTTTTGTTTGTTTGTTTGTTTGCTAGCAGTCCCAACAGTATCTGGCTTACTTTGAGCCGGATAACTAACTTGTAACACCAATCGAACAACCGGACGAAAACCTGTTGATTTTAGCATCTTTTAGCAGAGTATTGCAACAGTCCTGGTTTCGCTTGATAAGTAACAAAAATCTGGTGCAGGTTTGGTACTGTACTCCTGTTTAAGAGGAAGTGGTTAGACTATCGTACAGTTCTTAAAGCGACATCCTCTGTGTCACCGTGACAACATTATTTCACCATCCAGCAACTTTCCGAAAAGTGACAGAAAATCCTGGAGAAAAGCTGGGTGATTTGTACAGAAACAGACGTGTTGATCATTTACTTAAAGCGTCCCCAGCCAGCAGTGTTGGGGTGATTGGATCTCCTCAGGTAAACAAGGAGGAAGCTGATATTGACCTGGTAACTGATTATTCATTTGTCAGGTACTTGGCCTGTCAGCGTTTTGAGGTAAGGAGGGGGGTTCCCAGCAATCAGCTGAGGTCTCTTTGTCTAATTCTTGAAATGCTTGCATGTTTGTTCTTGCTATTTTTTTCTCTTGATGTCAAAGCAAATTTTCTCCTCAAAGGAGGAAGTGGAAGTACTGTCATGTGTGCCATTTTTGCAGTTTATGATTTCTCAGGGTTAGGCATGAGCTCCCAGACTGTCAAGACTTCTGCATACTTGTTTAGATCACAATAGTAATGTGGATGACGTCTGTGTAGCCAAATATTCATATTTAATAAGTTACTTTTCCTTTAAGGCACAAAGCAATGTTGTTCAAAGTAGTGGCTTGTAAGCGTTTGGCAGGAGGCTGAGTGTGTGTGTGTGTGCGAGTGTGAGACTGACAAAGTGTGCAGGACCCTTTCCATTTGGGAAGGCCCCCTCCCCTCCCCCACCATGTCCCCTCCTGACTCCCGCTGCACCCGGCCTCAGCCCCTTGGCCCTCCACATTCCTGCACTCACACCCACAGCAGCCCGAAGGAGGCTGCCATGACATCACACCACATCCCACCACTACTTCTAGCCCTTCAACAACAAGGAGGTCTGTGTTTGTGTGGCAGCAGATAGCCGAAAGCCACCCCCATCATGGAAAGGCACAAAAGAAAATCAAAAGTGTTGAGTGTTTGACGTTTGTATTTGTTGTAAGAGTTTGCATGTTAGGTTAGCTGTGCTTTGTTATCTGTTCAGTACAGGGGGTTATCTTGCACCCTACCCATGGTATGCTGTGATTGGTGCAAAGCCTGTGCTCTTTTCCAGGTATTCCTTAATTACTTAATACTGCTGATAGTGTGGCAGCCCATGGCTGTAATTTGTTCTCTAACTGAAAGATTCTTTTTGGGAAATCATTGCACTTATTAGTGAATCTTAGCATAGTTTACTTAAGGTGAGAAGAGGCATGTACATTAACAAGTTGAAGAACGTGAAAAGTGAATTAAAAAAACCCTAACCCCTCTCTAAATAAAGACCTTTAACTTGAGAACAGCACTTTTAAATAGTTGAATGATTAACTGAATAATCTGTGGCTTTGTCCTGATCTTTTCCATGTTATGGTTTTGCAATCACAACTTGGGCTTTAACTCGTGTTTCTTGTTGTTTAGACAGAGCACTGTTGGTAGATGTGATTGGTTTGTCTGTGGATCTGCGCTGGATAAAAAGAAATGTAATCATTTCTTCCTGGAATGTTTGATGGTGGATTATGTCTCATTTGATAAGCCCCTGCCTCTGTGGAGTTTACTTCCTCTCCTCTCCCACCAGCATACACGTCCTTTGCACCTCTTTTTTCCCCCCACAGACACTTAATTAGCCTAAATACATGATAGGATTTCTGGTGAGATTGAATGGGTGTGATAAAGCAGCACATGACGCGGTTTTATGTACATCTGCTGTTGCTGGCAGGTGGGTGTCAGCTTGCTGCTGTTGGAAAGTATCCCATTTAATTTCACATTTAATTTAACTTTAGAGCTATATAGGATCATTACTGTGTACCAGGTCTTTATTAGTGATGTATGACATTTGGAGGAGAATTGCTTAATCAAAGCATTCCACAGGTTGCATTAGTCAGTAGAGAAGTACTGTGTATTATCTACACTCATGCCATCATGTACACTCTTTTGTGCGTGGCTCAAAAGCTGTGCTAATGATTGAGGAAGTCCCGGTGGTAAGGACTTACAGAAACACAACTTTAATCTGCAGTTTTGCATTTCATCTGCTTTTTCTCCATCTGCCTTTTAAAGGTTACAGTTCTCCTGACACCTCCACCTCCCTTTTTCCTCTTTCTGATGGGATATGGACTGGTGCACGTCTTTGTGTGATGGAATTGCGTAGTAGGACGCCTGGCTCTAGAGTAGCCATTGTGTGTGTGTGTGTGTGTGGAGTGTGGGACAATGGTGGGAGTGGGGCAGGGCCTGGGACTGATTGTGTGTGGACTTGTGGGGCCAGGGACCTCTCATTGTGGCAATAATGGTGCAGAGTAGCTCATAGTTAGGTGGTGCTTTTGACACTTGAGACCCCTCTTCTGTATGGGTGCGAGATGGTCGAGAGGGTGGGTGTGTGTTAGAGATGGAGTGTGTTGAAAGACAATTTGGGTAAACTTGGAGAAACTTAGGCTATTTAGCCCTAAGTGTAAAACTAAATAGCTTTAACAATCATTGTTTTGCTTCCTGAAAATGATTGATGTTCCACAGGGACATGTTTCCATTTATTCTCAGCACACTCGCAGACGACAGGAAAGGAAAGAGTGGATTTTTTTCCCACCTTCTCCCTGTGGGGGTTCATGTGTGCGATTGCGAGCATATGCTTTTCAATCTCAACAACTGCTGTGATGATAAGCACAGTGATTATCTTTATCTTTGAAAACTCCCTTGCACAGCTGACCACAGCAAAACCACTACCTCCTATCCCAATACAGTTTTATGACCAGGTTTATGGGACAATGTCCTGCTGTGATCAGGCTCAGCCAGCATACTTAAAGCCCGCAACAAATAATGTTCCACGGCAGAACTGATTATCTTTCATCTGCAAAAGCTGCCAAATTCTGGTAGATGCCAGGAATTTACTTTGCTGGTTGGAACCTATCAGCTGTTAGGAGTAATTCCAAGCCTATTAAGCCAACGTCGTTGAAAAAATATGGAACAAATAATACACAGCCCGTTTTTTTATACCTCTGTATACAGTAAAATAAGTCACAAGAATATTTCCCTTTATGTGAGGTTTTAAATCCTGGCACAACAGAGAAAACTAGCCATGCGATGGGACTGCAGCAGGATCCACTTTCTCCGGTCACAGCTTATAAAAGTTTTGATATAGTCCTCTGTGATATTAAGTTGACAAATGACTTCTGGTTAGAGGGAGGACTTCAGTTGTGAAAATGTCTGCATTTAACCAGGAATGTGACCAAAGGGAACAATGTGCTCAGCCATTCGACACTAATGAACCTCCCGGCCATTAGTCCAGTGTTGCCCTTGACCAGAGAGACAACGGCCAGTAAAGCAGCATTACCCTTGACGGCCTGGATGCTCCTGTCTGCTCTACAGCTATCCTCTCCGTCAAATCACCCCCAACCCCTGAGACCTCCACATTAAACTCAGGCCTGCTCATCAGGTCCTTTTGGATTATCAGCCTGTCTGTCTCCATTGATAAGCTGCAGGGTGTGAGGTTTGACGCTGAGAACTTCTTTTGAAATAAACCTTTTAAAAACTTTTTTTTCCAGTTTACTGCTGTTAAACAAGCAGCAGAAGTGAATATGTCCCCGGGTCATGTGCCTCTGTGATGTGAGATAATGCTGGTTTTACTGCAGTCATTTAGGTTGTAGCCAGCATGACCCACATCGATCCCATTGGTTATTGTTTACGGATGGTGGCTGGCTGGATCTGCATGGCTGGATGGGACGGATGGTTGACGGATAACTGCAGCACTTTTGAAGAACACGTGTGGCTGCATACACACACATTGCTGCTTTTTATTGGAATTCTTGGACCTCCCACATTCCTGCTTAGAAGGTTAATAGTTGCCGGCTGTGTTGCATTACACACGAGGGGAAAACGCAACACTTGCTGTTTCCTAACGCACTTCTTGGGAATTGTACGCTTCATACGACGGTATCTATCATTCTTTAATGCATTGTAAGGATGAAATGAATAAATAGTCTTTTTTTTCATTAAAAAGAGTTGTATTTTTGCTTTAAAGTTGGCTGCATTAGAATGCACACTGCTTCACTGAGCACACACATCCACACACACAGGGGTCTCTTTTCAAATCGGCATCAAAATTCACGTTGGGAATGCAGTGGGGTGTGTTGCCGTGCGTGGATTGACCTGCTCTGCTCAGCAGCTGTTTGTGTTTGCGCATGCATGTGTATTGTAATGCAATATGGGGAGTTTAGAGCCTCTGTGTGTTCATCCCTCACGAGAGGTGACTCAGTGTGAGGTGCAGTGGCATGTTGTCGTGAAACAATGCAAAGTGTGTGTACATGCAGGAGGTGTATGGTTTTCTGGGTGGGCAGCTCTGTAAAGGTATTACTTGTGAACAAAGCTTGTATGTCCGTGCATGTGGGTATATGTAACAGCTTCTTGGTGACGGCGGCGCCAGTGAAACTGATACGAGTCTGATGACATGCACACACATACACTTCCACACGCATGTGAAGATCAGGTAACTCAGTTCCTCTGATCCTTATAGATGAGGGGTTTTATTTTAGATCCCGACAGCACAATGACCCTGTCCTTGGGTGTAGAGCCTAAACTGTCACCTTGCTGCTGGTTAGAATATAATCACGGTGGAAGCTGTCAGGACCATGACGGGGTAAGTCATTCGGGGATGAAACTGCTTTTTCTTTGGTCCTCCTGCTGTAGCCGTGGGCCGGCACCACAGCTGCTGGGCTCCTTACACTGCCAAACACACAGAGGGGCTTGTTGTAACTCTCGTGTTGACAGTGCTGCAAAC